AATCTCATGAATTCAGACAACGGCCCCATTCCCTTTTCTCCCCTCTACTCGTTAGTTGAGGGTAGGGAAAGTGAAAGTCGGAAAATTAGTATATAAGGCATTACCATTGTTAAATTAGTTAGTTTTATTCTCACCTGAGGATGACCACTTTGTGGTCGAAACGCGTTGTGCTATTAAAATAAAAGTTTGGTGTGACGGGCTAATCGTGTTTTTGTTCATCGTTTCCATACCAAGAAGATCCAAGAAGAAGAATCAAAATAATTGGTTAAGGGTACTAGACAAGCAGTACATTTTACAGTCTCCTCAACTTTTCTTAACAAATATCCACAGAGAAATCCAATTTCTAACTTAAATTTCAAATAATTACGACGTTTGGCGCGTGATTTTGGTAACTATGGTAACAAGAAAAGTTTTCGGAAGAAATTAKCAGATGGCGATACATTAGAGTACGCTGTCAGAACCAATTTTTTTTTTGCAATGCGACCAGCTGGGTGAAGGGAAACTTCCTTCATTAATCAAGGAAGCCGTGATTAAAAATGTTAAAGCGTTGCTTGGCGATATTTTTTAATCATTCCAAAAAATCAAAACAACCAAATAACACCTGTTAAAATCATTCAGAAAGTGATTTTAAGATTTTTGCTTCATAAAAAATATGTATCTTAAAATTAAAAACCTTTTCAATTTCGTTCAATAATTTGAAGTACTGAAAAAAATAGAAAACAAATAAAAGAACAAAAATTTAAAAATGTAGAACAAACATGTTAAAAGCCTGATGTTTAATTTATTTTATTATTTCTATTTAAAATTTTTCACAATAAGCAAAAGTTTTTTTTAACCTAAATTGAACAAAATAAGTTGAACTAATGCATTCTTTAAGTAAGATTCAAGTTATATTTATAACCAAGCCAAAACAGCGAAAAAAGATCAAAAATCTTTGTTCTTGGAAAAAACGATGCTATTTTTAGTGTTATTTACTAAAAAATAAATAGTTAAAGCAAAAAACGCTTAATCTCATGCCTGCATAAATCTTCAAAAACTGATTTTATTATATCTTGCATTAATAAAAAAAAATTCATAATATCATAAGCAACGGTTAACGTCGAAAAATTAACTAAATACGTTCACCTCATTTTACAATTTTTGCAATAACGTAACACACTTTGTTTCCAAATTAAACAAAATAGGCCAAAATAACAAATAATTAATGCGTGATTTCGCGATTTCTTAAAATGTCTCAACAAAAACTTTAAAACATGTAATAAAAAATGAATAAAATGTAATAATCAAATAAAATAAAATAAGATCTGATTTCGTGTGATCTTTTGAATTATTTCTAAAAAAACTCAAAATAAGTAATGATCTCGTTATAAAGATTGTTTAAAGCATGATTTTGCTTTTTTTTGATATAAATAATGAAATCTTTTCCAAATTAAACAAAAAAAGCAGAGATAATACAATTAAAGCATAATAATGATATTGCAATTTTTTGTAACGTTAAGAAATTGTTTAAATAAATAAGATTTTCGTTTCAAACATTCAAAATCGGTAGAAAGTCTACATAACATAACTAATAAATAATTAAAGCACGATAATATAATAAATAATAATAATAATTTATTAATTTAAAGAAATCTCTTGTTGTTAAAAATTTTTTTGAAATAAAACAATTACGGACTACTTTTCGACTTTCTTTAATTCTGTATACATATAGGGTGCTTCAGAACTCGCGCCCCAGAGAAAAATTTCAAGTAAGATAGGATACCAAGAACATGGAAAAAATGTTCAAAAAATTCTATCTGTCAAAAAAACTTTGATAATTTTTTATTCTATTTAATATTACTGATGATCTTGTATACGTTTTTTTTTTTGGGTTACCAAAAATTATTAAATGTTCCTTATCAATGCCCAGGTAAGTGTAAAAAATTTCAACAATTTTATTTAATTAGAAGTGGGGATTTCTTTTCTGTGAGTTACCAATGCCCCTCCTAGTGTATATTTTTTTATAATTATTTAGTAAAACCACAAATAACTTTAAACATAGTTACAATTTAGGTACCGCTGCCTTGTTTCCGTTTTTAGTAGCCTGTAGCGAAAAAACTTGGAAAATTGTTTTTCCAACAGAAATAAAAAGAGTCAAAGTGCAATTTTTTTAAACATTTTTTCCATGTTCCTGATATCTTACCTTTTACTCTGAGGCGCGAGTTCTGAAACACGCCGTATAAATATATTTCTTTTCAAGGTTGAAAAAAAGTCTGACGTTGCAGTTTTTCCACTAAATTAATAATAATTAGTATCATTATTTACGCTCCGCCCCTTCCAGGTGCCATGCCCATGGTAATCGCGACGACTTACTGCTTGCCCCGCCTCCTCCGCTGGTTCATCATCGTATCATATTGCTTACTGAGTCTGTGGGGCCTGTACAAAGTAAGCACCTCTTCTAGCTCCTCCCCACTCTCTTATTTTACTCGTTGACAGGCAATGATCGCATGGTCACCATGGGAGCGCCGTCTTTGCTTCCTTCTGCCTTTCATCATGCGACTACACCTCTGGTGTCTCCGCGTCACCAGTTACGGGGGCGGCGACCCCGCCGCCTTCCAACACGTTATTCTCCAGGACGTGGTGTCCATTTTTGGAGCGGCTATCGGCGCCCTACACATACCGGAGAAATGGTTTCCCGGCACCGTCGACTTCTACATGAACTCGCATAATATCATGCATGTGTTAGTCGTCGCTGCCGTCTATTCCATGCACGTGGCCACGATGCGTGACCTTGCGTGGATGTCACGAGTGAAATGCAGCGCCGCCCTCTGATGCGCAGCCACGCCCATTAGTGACAAAATGGGAAATTAAGATTAAGTATTTTCGCTTGTTTCTTGCGCACAAAGTGGTTCTTCCGGACACGCGTTTTAACTTTTCCAGAAATTTTACAGTTGTGATAGAGTCGATGAGTAGACAAGTTTAGAATTTGGTTTTAAACTAGTTGTAGGATTTCCAGTGATGAAAATATATCTTGTAGTGATCTTATCAAGCTTTTACAAAAAAGGTGAGTTGTACCTACCGTGTTTTTCTTGGTAGTTAGATGTCTATTCTCATACAGTAACGATCTATTTTTTTTAAATTTTATCCACAACCAGTCATAATAACACTACTAGGAGACGTCTTATGATATCAATAAAATACACGGATCTTGTAAAAAATAAATAGCACATCCGAATACAAATTAATTTGACTGACAAACGTCCTTCAAAACGTCTAATAAAAAATTTCCAAAATGTTGTTTTCGTCTATATTGTCTGGTTGTAGATAAAACGTTGTATTGCGTACGGGTCTTACAATGTATTTTATCCACTTAATTTAACCTTTGCGTGGATAAACATTGTTAAAACTACGGATACCTAAAGACTAGGATACGATGCGACGTAAAACGTTCTCGATAGTTCCGTTAATGAGGCGAGATAGCGTAGTTGTTCTTTTCTCGTTTAAGTTTTAAGAACAATGAAATAAAGAATGGCTGTGTGTACATAACGGTGAGCAAAACGCAAATAAAAAATATAGACAAAGCATTCAATTCTCAATAATAAGAGATAAAGGCAATGCAAAAATTTTATTGAAAACTATATACAAAATTCTCATATTTTTGAAAATGCTGTGAATACAGTTAAAGGTACAAGAAAAATATAAAAAAAAGTTGTAGAGAATAAAATTTTCAAGAAAAAAGTCCGCGAGAGATACCTCTATCTTCAATGGTTTAGGTCCTAAGGACGTTCAAAGACGCTCAAGTAACGAATATGTATCATTTTTACCTGTGGTCAAAGGACAAAAAATTAATTTAAACCTAAACGGTTGAAGATAGAGATATGGTCTCGCGGACTTTTTACTAGAAAATTTTATTCTCTACAACTTTCTTTCTTACATTTTTCTTGTATCTTCAACCGTATTCGCAGCACTTTGAAAAACATGAAACGGAGCAGACTTTAAATTTTAAATATATTTTTTTCTCATATTCCTCGTAAAAAAATTAGTCGTTCGTTTTTCACAGCTTATTAAAGCTCAACCTTTTCGCATTTTTTCCAAGCAATTAGTACACTGGTTAAATTTAAATTTATTTAAAACGATTTGAAACTGAGACGGTAAAACGCTCAAAGCGCCCTCATTTTTACTCCGCCGTACTACTGTTTTGGGTCCAAAAAATCGAGCAATTTTGTATCTCGTTTCGTCTCCTAGTATGTAGTTCTCCGTAGTTACGACCCTTATACCGTGCGATCAAAAAATAAATAAATTAGAGTAGGCGGCGATCCAACTTTGACAAGTTTGCGTTTTATTCATTTTGAGTAAAAATAATGTTCACTTTAGAACAGAAAATTTTTATTGTTGCAAATTATTACAACAATGCTATACAAGACGAAAACGGTGAATGGTCATTTTCACTTTCAGTTTGTGTGGAAAATTTCCAGCCCAGATTCCCAGCCATGTGTTGCCAACTGTAGAATTTAATGGATGCCTACTCTAATTTTTTTTTTGATCGCACGGTACAATAAATAACTATTATGATATTAATCTACTCCTTGACAGATTTTACGATATAAAATTAATACTGAATTTAGTGAGTTCGACGTTTTACGATTGGCATTCCTTTGTTGGGTGAGAAAATAATCTCTTTAGTAAGTACACTTCCGCAGTAATAATATTCGTGCAATAACTTTGTGCTTCCTTATTCTAAATGTTGGCAATGCTGGTACAACTCAGCTTGCCCATACACCAATCTTAGAAACGTATTTTATACAAAATGTTCAAAGTTCGCGTTATATCGATTTTGTTTGAATTTTAAAGTTCCTCCCAAATAATATACCCGCCATGAAAAGGCAAATGGCCACATAATTGTGGTTCCTGTTATGTAAATAAAAACTCTGTAAAATAAAATCTTCCTTTATTATCAATAAATTATGTACATTTTGTGTATAGATATTTAAATAAATATTAGAAGTACTATGAAAATATGAATCCCTTCCAAAAATAAATTCCCTCTTCGTTTCCTTAAAAAAATCAAAAAAGCTACTGCAGAGGACTATCAGACTCTGAGGTGTAACTCTTGACTCTCGAGAACCAAAATGGGGGAAATCGGTTACCGAGCAAGTCAAAATTGCAGGTACTTTCGTCACCTTTGAGTGTCCTCGTAAAAACGGAATAGTGTGTCCATACCAACTGCACATGCCGTTTCTTATTGGTACTCTTAATTTGTAATTCCTACAAACCGAACAATAGTACCAACCTTTCCAAAAATTCCCCCATACCATGTGAAATGTCTGCTCCGCCGTTTCCCTCAAATCCCCCCCTCTGCGTTTCTTCTTATAGGCTTGAACGTGTTTATTTTCCTGTCTTTGCACAACCAAAGTTACTTTATCATCTTTCAAAAGATAGTACCCCCTCAAAATCGGACTTCGAGCATTCCTGCTCTTCATCTGACTCACACATTGAGCCGGTTCCTCTGACGAAGTTAAAACGAGCACCACCCCCTCGGGGAAAAACCTTAAATATCTATAATACGAGACTAGATGCCAAGGCCGGTAAAATTGATCCTGGAAACTGTTTTCCCCATGTCTTATATAAGTAGTTTTGCCAATATAACAACCGTTAAAATGTAGTCGAGTTCGCTCGATAAACATATGACGCCAAGATAAGTAATTATAAGGAGAATTCCCGCAATTTAAACCCCAGACTCTGTAACCCACTGTTAGTGCGGCACTCGGCCACTAGGGTTCGTCTCACCTCAAGCATGCCAACCGCCACAGTTCCGGGTCGCGCGCACATAAATAAAAACCCCGGCAAACCAATGAAAACATCTCCAAAGACCTCAAGTCAAGGTCAGAACTCACCACCCACCGCAAAATATTCAAAAGCATTTCCATTGGCAAGACTGAGATGTGGGTAGTCTGCAAAATGACAAGTCAAGCGTTGCCAACCTCACAAATGGAAAGTTACTTTTTGTTCAATTTTTGGAACGCAAATGGCCGACATTTTGGACAGTTTTTTTTGAATGCGTTGAAGCAGCTCACCCTCTGGAATTTCCTCATCGTGGTCGCTATCGGAACTTTCTTCCTCTTTTTCGTCGATTTCTTCATCTGGGATTGTTATATCACGGGTTTTGATGGCGTTATCAATCCGGAATTCTATGTCTGGGACAAGCTGAACTGCCCGTCTGTAAAACTGGATGGCTTCGTATAATTTTCCGGACTTTTCCAGTTCAACTCCTTTGAGGAACAATTTCTTGGCTTGGGTTTCGTCGTCCAGCTCCGGTTGTGTCTCTTGCGACTTTTGTTTGGGTTTTTTCGGTGATATCTGCAGTTCTTTTTGCCATTTTTCCCGAAAGCTGGTGAGGACGTCCTCAACGCCCTAAGTGACGGATTAATACTGTTGCAAAACTTATTTAAGAGTGAATACCTGATTGATTGAAGAAGAAGACTCGTCTTGGTCTTCCCCATCCGTTGAAGATTCAGTCGAGCCGTTTCTAGCCGATGTTAGAGAACTCTGCGAATATTTTCAAGATTATGTAATTTAAAGCCGGCAAAAAACGTAATTTTTACCATTCTCTGATGATTGAGGAGTTTAGATGGTTGAGATTAGTTCACGGTCTGTATATCTGACTACAATTGTAACCTTTAGATAATTATTATAAAGCAGAACTTCCATATTTTGCACTAAAACACAGATTGTTGATGCGAACATATGGTTTTTGACAGATGGGATTTCGGATTATTGCGAATCCCATTTGATCAAATCTGACTATTTTCACGAAACTTCTCAGAAAATACAAACTTTCACACTCAAAATTGTTTTCTGTATGTGAAATAAAGCAAAAGTGCGCATATGATGTTTCAATTTTGGTAAAAATTGAAACAAATTTTACTTGTTTATTGTGAAATGAACAAGGTTGGTAGCACTTAAAGCATTTCAGAAAATGCGGGAAATGCAAAATTGAAAACAGTTGGTAAAGAAAATTCATTAGTAGCTTCTACTTTATAAAACAAAATTAGTGTCAGTGCACCTGCTGGTAGTGTATTTATACCCCTCTTAATTAAAAAATCAATCTTTCGTTTAAAAATCATAACAACAATCTAAAAAAGTAGTTTTATTAGCATCATATACTGAAATTACACATACAAGATACAAAAATCGTAACTATTCCCAACAAACTTATTGTAATATTGACAACTTAACTAATTTTGTGGTTATGCGATAAAAGCTGAATCTCGACAAACAAAAATAATACAGTAGTCGCACATAATCCCAGATGTGCTCATTGGAGCGAAAAATAAAATGATGCTGGGGTTGCTACACGGGAATGTTTATACAATTTATAATCAATGTTATCGTCTGTACGGATGGTAAGATTGTGAAGGTGTGTTATATCCAGATCCCCGCTGCGGCCCTCCGGAATAAGAATCTCCTGATGCATAATCACCTACGGTAGAATTATTCACAAGTGAACGTTTTGACTTGACACTTGACGATCTATTAAGCAGGACGGAAGGACTTGTGTTAGGGATTTCATCTGAAAATCAATCATCAGGGATGGATGGGACCGACAACAATTTTTCCTTTCTCGCTCCTCTCTCTATACTGGGTATGTGGGGACACAGGTGGAAGATAGATAGATAATAAGAGCGGTTCAATTTTTTAGCATTATATTTTTACTCATTATCGAATAATCAAAGATAATGGTAGGTACAATTCTTTTGTAAGTATTTTGTTAAAACTAATAGACATCTTAATTCACGCTAAATATACTCAAGTAATTAACTACCCCGATACAAATGCACTACTGTATATATTATATATATATATTTATAATATACTCCTTAAACGACACTATTTAACCAGGTCTCTTGTTTGAAAGTTATCTTTTATTTAGTTTTTGTTATTATACTATAACAATTGCTACTACAGTAGACCTCGACAACCTTTACAATACTTAACAGGCTTATTGATCATGAAGATTGCTTGCAACAGGTGAATTACATATTAACTAACTGCAAAGCTGATTTACAGTGGCAGAGGATAATAACATTAGGAATGAGGAAGTTAAAAGAGGGACAAGTTACGCCAATATTAACGGTTGCTTAACTATTAATTAACACGTTCTTCAATAACTAGCAGACTTAAGAATTAGAAAACAATTTTACACTTACAGGTCACACTCATATATTGAATATACAGTTCATTTGTTTCTTTTTTATTATTATTTAATAGAGCATTGTCGGCTGACATACGATTTTTTTTAACTCTTACTTAACTTTAACATAATACAAAATAATATCTTTTGAGCAACAAATCAATGCCTAAATTTAAAAATATATCGAGGAAACACCTTACATAAATTACTATTCGGCTAGTAAAAACCACATGAGGAATTGCACTATATATAGTAAAGGCCCTAATCATATAAGGTAAATGTTTTTCTTCCATTTCAATAATTATTGTATAATAGTTTAAAATTTAAAAACTTATTCTGTATCTGTACATCAGTCAAATTGTTCTAAATTTTACTCCTCTATTTAAATTTAATTATTACACTAACAAGTCAATTAACTATCAGCGATATTGTAATATAAAATACAATTTATAAATAATTCTATATATTACTTTGTAGATTTATTTTGTATTACTGGCTAAAACTACTTTAAATAATAACTAGTTACCGGCATAAATGTATATTAATATATTCGTGTGTGTACATTTATTCTCTAATACAGAGCGTCCAACCAAATATGGAATGACTTCCAAACGAAAAAAAATCTTTTCGTTACCCCCCTTAACCAACAATGAATGCCAGTCTACTCACCGGGTTACAACCTTCGGAATCACACGCAACTGATAAGTGCTGGCCATCTTGTAAATAACCAACCCTTATCAGTTCCGCGTCGACTGAAGAATGGCCACCTCTGGCGCAGGAGCACCAGGTCTCCTACGCCAGAAGCAACTCTATGTCTTCCTTAGTCGATTATTTGTTTTTAAGATGGAACGAAAAATGGATAATATATAATATATATAATGTTGTTGTTTGCTTATGAGATAAGTGAGTTGAATTGTGTTTATTTCAGAGGTACAGCGAGGGAGGTGAAACCTCCTCACCCATCCCCCGAAATAAACTGTAACCGTTGGGAAACCCCCGTCAGGTCACAGTTTATTGGTCGTTGGCCCGGTTTTCACCCGACATTACCCCCGCCCCCCGACTGAGTCACATAACAGCGCCACCCCGAAAGCACAATTGGCCCTAGTACCCGATCGGGAAAACAGTACTTCGGGGATGTACCCCTGTCATGTGACTTGGTTTCGGGTACACTCGGTATAATAGAACCGACACTCCACCACCTGTCGCGACTCTCCCGCGGAAACGGCCACCGGAAATGTCGTAAACGGGTACCGTTTCCGGTCGAAGCTTCCACGAGAATCTCCCGGCCGATGTTGGAGTGGTAACTGTCGGAAATACTATACTGGGTGTACCCGAAACTTGTAGAATCGGACGCCCTGTATCTTATGACGCGCCCCACCTTGTAACTCTCCGAGGAAAAGCTTTTGTACTGACGTGAAACAAAGTTTACATCGGAAATAAGGCAACATAGGTATTTGTTTTGTTTGTTTTATGTAAAATGTGCAATTTTGGGTGTAGACGATTCGGTTATTTGCTGTACTTTTCTTGCATTTAGAATGTGTCATGTGTATATACAGTAACTCCCCCACCACAGAAGAAAGGGAATAATCATTTTTACTAATTAACACTACTACCTACTTTAAAAAGAGCGCTTTATTTTTGTTTTCAACTTTCACTTTTTTCTAAAATTGTATTGGTCTGCGTTAACCGAGGAATATTATACAATTAAAACTAGAAAACAATATCAGTTACGTCTAGGTTGCTATCAAACATTGCTTAATGTAGATTGTCACACTCAATTTTTAATAAAAAATAAAAAAATGTTCACTAAAAAAAACAAACGTATCAATTACTCGTTTGATTAGATAGACACATGAGGCCCAGACAGACAGAATTACTTCTACTAAATATAAATCACCATGAATTCGTTAACTGCTAAAATCTATTAGTTATATCTTATTTAATCCGAATCGCGCCCCCTCCCCTCCCTGACAACCCCTAATTCAAAGTTTTCGGTGTAATTTGTTTCTTGCCTCTTATTACACAACCACTCAAACTAATTTGTTTTAACCAAAGTGAAACTAAAATTATAATAAATAGGTATACAAAAAGAATATAAAAATCTACACTGATTCGAGTCATGTCGTTCGAAAATGTCCGTTATAAGTGAAACGTTCGCTCCAACTTTTCTCAAAAGCAAATACTTTTGATATGTGATGTTTGAAAAAAGTTTCAAACGGTTCATTATAAACGGACGTTTGACCGCGTATTAAAACTAAAAAAAAGTGAACACAATTTTAAAAAAAGAGGAGGTCTATTACTAGAGTACAGCCAGATCTTATGATAAGTCCTACTTAGCTATGTGGTTGTGTACTATTTATGTCATTTACTTATTATAAAATTAATATTTATTAAATAGTGACCTTAACTTACAACAATTATTTAAAAATTCCTTATTGGATTAGATTGTCTGCTGGTCAATTTGAAATAACTTAGATAAAATACATTTTTATATAGTAATATGTACAATTACGCCACCTACAATTTGATATTGAAACATGAGACTAGAGCACGTTCAACTTACAATAAGTAATCAGTTTCATCATAGGAATACATCATAAATATATTATGCGAAACGTTTCATTATTACCAACTATTGTAAATGCATTTAACTTAAGTTTAAGAAAGTTTTACACCTACTAACTAAGTATGAATCACATTCTTAATCGTTTCGCTTTTTTTTTCTATTTTTTTTTTGGGTTTATATTAAGACACAACCACGCAGACACTCTAACTTTGAAATAGAGATATGAGGTAAAAATTGAATTTACACTATTTTTAATTATATAATATACTTTAATAACAACTTGAGCAGTGCTTAAAATTAGTCAACACTTCTGTCTGTCTGTAGTAGTGTTATGACAAGTGTTACAAACAAAACAAAATCGGAAAGCGTCCTCTAGCAACGAAACACTAATCTACCCCCGAGAAAAATGACTGAAAATACGTGAAGGTTGTCGGTTCTGCCGTTAGAGGGCGTGTTCTCGTTTTGAAATACTAATTAATAATAAAAAATAATAATAAAAATCAAACACGAACGAATTAGCTGCGAAAACTCAGACGGCGTATGATATCATGTGTGTTATGTGTGTCCCGTCGATTCTCATATGTCAATCTAATCAGAATAATTGATTTTGGCGGGAGTGACCAGTCCGGCTGCTCTCTTCATGTTAATCAAGCCAACACGATTCCAACTGTTACAACACATACCCAAATTATTACTCAAGTTGTTGTAGTGCTTGAACGTGACTGTCTCCTCATCATCGATTTTATCAGTGTAAAAAGTGGCTTTGACTGCCGCATTGACGTACAAACGTACATTTTTATTATTATTATTATTTATATTAGAGGAGACAGTCGCGTTCGATGCGCTGTTGTTGCCGTTATCGAAAGGTTGTCAAGAACTGGGCCACTCTTTAAAATCATTGAAATGTTTAGCACCTGCGTTTGGAGGTTGGGAGGAGTATCCGCTCACTTGGCTGCTGCCGTCGCTGCCGTACGAACGGGGCGGTGCGCCGTAGCCGCCGGCGTCCGCCGCCGAAGCGTACGATCCGTAGCCGTAGTTGTAATCCGAACCTGGTTTAGAGCTGCCGCCAGAGGAGGACATATTCGGCGGGGCACTGGGGGTGGCCGGACCACCGGGGCCAGATTGACCGCGTGTGTACATATCCCCTGCTATGTAACCTGTAGAAACGGAAAGATAAAACGTACGGTTTTCTGAAAATTTTACAATGGTTGGTTTGATGTTGATTGGTTGGTGGCGTGTGGTAACACGATAAATGACAGATTCTAAGACTTTTTTATCACTATCACTATATAAATTATAGATATTCATAATGAAACTCTTGTTAAGCAAAAACACAATGATTTATTTTATTGTCAATTACATTTTTAATTTCATTAACAACCTTGATTAGTTAAGACATAAAAAGACAAATTATTATGAGTAATTAGAATAAAAACTGACACTATGAAATAAAACATAATCAGTGTTCACTATTATGTACCTTTATTTCACACAGCAACAAGTATTGTGTAAAATAATAGATTGCATAATAATAATAAAAATCTTCATTTACTACTTAAGTATAAATAATACTATTATGAAAAAACATAAAAGTATTATGAAAAAGCGTCAAAAAATTGGCTCATATTTATAAATTAAGATAAAACTGTTTTCGCAACGTCAACATTTTTAAAATAATTAGAAACAGTATTCTGTGTAATTATGAAACAAATTAAAATTTATTTTAAGTACAACATACACATTACTTTGTGAATTTCTACGGTGCATGAAATAATACCATCTTTGCTTAAAAAACTCAAAACTTATGAAGTGGTGTTAAATTAAAACAAAAAATTATACTTGCTGCTAAGGTGTTCAGATTTTTAACCAATAAAACATATAATATTTGTGCTAACTTTCAATAAAGATTATTAAAATAATCTAAAAAAATTATTGAAAAAAATATTCTTCAAGCCTAGTTTTTCCACGTTTTTTTGTCAGTACAGCTTTAGTCCGTATGTGCCTAAATACACCATCTGCTTTGATTAGTTATTATTTATAAAGTACTTTTATATAAAGAAATGGAAACAAAGAGTAACCCGGAAATCCCCAAGTCAAAATTAAGCTATTTAACCCAACTTACCTCTATACCAAGTTGCACCGTTTATAAATTAAAGGGCGCCAAAGTTTAAAAATTATTTTCGTTTTTTCTTTTTAATGGAGTAATTAATTTTTTTAAAATTTGGTACAGGCAATTTGATACCCAAACCACGTGGTTTTTCTTTTGTTTTAATGTTATTGTAAAGTACTTACTTACTTAACACATTTTTAGCCGTATTATTGTTATACGTGGCCATAACTTTTAAACGATGCAACTTGGTATAGACGTAAATTGGCTTAAATCGCTTAAATTCGACTTGAGGAATCTCAGGTTACTCATTCCCCATCTTTTCGGTACACGCTGTATATTATAAAAATGCTTTTTTTTTTTAATTTGGCGTCAAAGCTATCCATGAAAATTCGATTGTAAACGAACTATTATATGAAAGTTGATAATCTGACATTTGACACCTCGCCGGGTGTATTAAAAATTGTGGTCCGTTCACAACATACTCATATCATCGCCAACTACGACGTCAAATTTAAATAAACACCCGTTATTATACAGAGTGGTTATAAATGATTTTCATCTAGCCAGCTTTGGAATTTTTTTGCATGTAACTTTAATTGTGCCACTCTACTTTTTTGAAAGCTCTAGTTCTGTCATTAGTGTCACTTATTAATTAATATTAAATGGTTGTTAATTAAACTTTTATTGTTTCAACTAATTTCCAATAATAATTGAATATGATGTATACTTTGGAACAAAACAAGTTTATAATTGAAGTCTATTATCGAAGTGGACGCTTAGCAAACGGCGATTTTTTAATTTTGAGTTAAAACAAGTAGGTACCCCTATTTTCGTAAAGCGGCATTTTTTATTTTACATGGAAAATTCACAGCTGGCTAGATGAAAATCATTTATAACCACTCTGTACAGCGTCCCAGCGAGTTAAAAAAGTCGATTAGTGGACCTTTAAATGGTGAAATTAAAAAATATAAATAGGACATTACTAACCTAGTCCATTGCCTAAAATTATTTTCAACTATACAGCGTGTCTCAAAAATAAGTTACTATACAAACACCATATGTTTCTTAGCGTTTTTTGGATGTAAATTTTTATGACAATGTTTTTAAGCTAAACTTTTATTTGTCAATTTTGCTTAGTTTTAAAAATAAGAAAACGAAAACATGCACTTTTTAAAAATTTATTACACAAAAACTAATCTAGAAATATTTTTTTACTACCGCAAAAAAGAAGGTACAATACAAGTTATAAGGCTGTAACATTTTTTTTAGTGTGTTGCATTTACAAAGATAAAAAAATTAAGGTGTTTGTTAAAAGTTTAATAACCTAAAAAAATTAAATGGAATACCCCAGTTGCACAAGAGATGGAAGAAATATCATTTAATAATCACATTTGTGTTAAACTAAACCCATTATTCTTTATTTTTACAATAAAATGATTTGAATTTCGGTATTTATAACGACTTTTACAATGTCTGGATAAATCAACCGGTAAGTGATCCGTGGTGGAATTACTATGGTTGCCAAGTTGCCATATTATCAACAATGCTGAGATATGGATAGGCATTGTTGCTACAATTAATACTGAATGTTAAATATTTTTTCATTTATGAATTCCAGATATTAGAAGTTTATTCTTTTAGATAGACAATTTATCAATCTATTAGATGCAAAAATAAAAAAATTGGGTGTTCCATTTAAATTTTTTACGTTATTTAAGTTTTAACAAACTTCTTACTTTATTAATATTTACAAATGCAAAACACTAAAAAATTGCTACAGCTTTAAATTCTGTACTTTTTTCTTTGCAGAAGTAAGAAAAAATTTGTTCTAGCTGTCTTAGTTTTAAAGGAAGCGCTTTGAACTTTTTTCAATGTGGATTAAATAAATATGATTCTATGACGCTACAAAATTATTTTCTGTTCTTTTTAGAACAAAAGAAGCAAAAAAGAGCTGTTTATTGTTCATTTGATTCATTATTTATGAAACCACATTGTTATTTCCATTGTTTTGAATATCCAAAACAAATCATTGTGCACATAATTAAAAATTAGATAAATAACGACTCAATCTGTCATTTACGGTCATCACTTACCTGACGGACCTGTCGATCCACTATTCTGGGCCATATTCCAGCTGTTCCAGCTTGTTCCGCTACCGGCACTCGGACCTACAACCCCTCCGTATACCGCAAAGCCTCTCATCCCCTTTCCTTCCCACTCACCATACGACCCATAACCTTGCTGTTGCGGCGGTCCTCCATAGTTGTTGCCCCATTGTGGCGGCGGTCCTTGCGGTGCAGGCGGCGCACCCCATCCCTGGTATGATCCAGGACCTGATGGTGTACCATAACTGGCGTAACTCTGCTGTTGAGGCGATGTGCCCCAACCTTGGTAACCCTGCATCATATTGGGTCCCATCGGAGCGCCCAGATTCATCGGAGGACCGCCCATTTGTCCATTGGGGCCTTGCATCATGCCCATGGGGGCTTGTGGCGGACCCCAAGCCGACGATGGATCGGCACCCCCCATCTTATTGCCGCCGGAACCGTCACGCGGCTCGGCTTTCTTGATCTCGACCTGAAATGCATAGTAACAAACTCGGCTTCGTCTCGGTGGAATATTCACTCACTTGTTTGCCGTTTAGGTTCACAAAATGCTCGGAGACGCATCGGTCGACCGACTCCTCGTCCTCAAACGACAAGAAACCAAAACCTAAAAAAAAAAAACGTTTTTATTGAAGCACCCTGTATTCATTTGATAGATATTGAAATTAGTTATTTTGGTTAATTGTTGATTTGTTTAAACATATTCGGGTAATATTTGAAAAATTAAAAGCAAGCGCAATTAATTGACTTTAAAGAAAGTGTTATAAAACACCACACCATTGAAATAAAAGAATAATTTTAAGCTTTTAGCGAAATGAATTTCTCATAGAATGCAAGTTTTAAAGCAAGGTGAGTAGAAACACTTTTCTTTATTAATGTGCGTTGCAGTAAAGTAGTTGTTTTAAGTGTATGTACGTTAATATTCATGATTTATAGAACTCACTCGCGAGTCTCTCGAGATCATTGCGGTTAGGAAATGAGTTATTAAATCTGGTTTCCGCTGGCATTGAATATTAATTTCAAATTCGCTCGCTTAATTAAATTTCAGTTTCAAAATAATTTCGCCTAATTAAAATTTCCCTCTTTACCTCTTGATTTTTTCTTCTCCTGGTCATACATAATAACAACTTCCATTACTTTTCCAAACCGAGTGAAGAACGTCCTCAGATCGGTTTCCGTCACGTTGGAAGGTAAACCTCCTAAAAATACCTTCGGATAACCTCCGCCCTTCTTGGGCTTTTGTAAAGTTCTTGGATTACATGGTTTCGGGTCGATAGTTCTATAAAATACACAAACCAATAAGTGTAAATTTTTATTTTCAATTGTATTCAAATACCTTCCGTCTAGTGTATGTGGGCCATTTTGAAGTACAGTATTTACATTGGCTGGATCTGAAAATGTAACGAAACCAAATCCTCTAGAACGGCCTGATTCTGCATTTTTCATAACAACGCAATCGATGACTTCGCCATATCTAGAGAAAAAGCGTTGAAGATTGTCCTGGGTTGTCTCCCAAGACAAGCCCCCTACAAAGAGTTTGCTGGAAAAACAAAAAATATTATTGAAAATCTCTCTAGTTGGGTAAACAACTCCCAGATGGACGAGGCGAGTAAATAACCGAATATTTCTCTATTAATAGAAGTTTTTTTCTATTTTAAAACGCATACCACTGAAATGATTTACCTCAGTTCTAAAAACAATTTCAACGGTTGAAAATAAGTTGCAATTTTTTTACATATCTTGCCCGAACCAGTTTAAATTAAATTCAAATGAGAGTTGGAAAAAACTGACCCTTTTATAAATGCAAGGGTCGTCATAGCCCCATCCCAGTGACTTTTGAAAGCAATATGAAATATAACAGGTTTCATAAAAAGCTGAATAAAAGTAACGCATGGTTTCACATAAAAATTTTACAGACGATTTTTTGTTGTGGCAACAGTGAAAGTTATTCGCACAAATTTAACGCATTTTAAAAGTTTTTATTTTCTTGATGAGTTTTCTAAACACACCATTTTCCGATGATTAACAATATACAGGGTGTCTTATATTTTTGTTTTTCTCTTTTTATTTTATGATCTTTTATGTCTTTAATTATTTGACGTGTAAACATCTTGACGTATGTCTAGAAACACAAATAAATGATTATTATTATTAGACATTTGATTTCTACTTTAATTTATAAACAAAAAATAATGCATACACTTATTTGTTTATACTAAATTACAATTTTTAATACTGGAAAGTAAATCTTTGCATTTTTTATATCTAAAACAAATCGCCAAAAAACAACACAATCCTTGCAAATTTTCAATAAATTATTGAAAAATTAATTTAAAATTTTCAATAAATTATTGAAAAATTTATTTATTATTCGAGTTAATTTTTATACAAAATTGTATTAAATTTCAAATAAGTAGATTATGTTTTCACTTTTAAAATTCTATTTTGTCCAAATACAGTTACTTTACCGTTAATATTTTTGTTTAAAACAATAAGCTAGTGTTTTACTAAAAATTTAAACAATACAGGTGGTCAGAATAAAACTAAAAAAAAAATATGGATTAAGAGACTGTAATTTCAAATGCCTCAATTAAAACGAATAGATTTTTTTTTAATTTGTTTTCATTTCCATTTCATAGCAATTGATTAACAACATTTTTGTTCAAGTTTCAGTTTCATATTCTACAAATATTTTTTACAAAGAGAATTGCGTCTTTACTGCGTAATAACCACCAAGTGATAATAAATGATAGATGAAACGTTTGAAACCTAATTATCGACACAAACAAACGAAAACAATAGATAAGACGATTCTTTCTAGAACAATAAAAACCTTGAAACATAAAATGATTTGCAAAACTTATCTAGGTAGTTAGTCATTTTTATATTTCAACAATTACAATAATGTGAAATAAATAAATAAAATTGTTATTTACATTACAAATGCACTAGGTAGGAATAATTTTACGGCGTAAAGTTTTGATATTGAAGCACGAAACGAAGATGAGTGCATTAATAAAACTGAACGCTGCAAAGTACTCGTACCTAAAGCAAAAAAGTACAAAATATCTTAACCGAGAACAGTTCTTAGATTATTTTGATTTGTCAATACTCAATAGATAAACTTAACGAGTCTACGCATTTACTATTTTCACTACAAAATAGCGTTGATCAGGATTCTGCCGAAAAAAAAATTGTAGTTATTTTAGAATACTCTGAATAGATAAATGTGTGCGGTATGTTCTCTTGATATTAATGATTTAATGAAACTTCATTTACTATAAAATTTAATTCTTTCCGAGATCTCTGGAAGCCTAAAATTTTTGTGTTAATTGCCCGAGCGGTGTGCGTTAAAATTGACAGACAAAATTACAGTTGTCGAGGTCAAAAACGACAGATTTTCCTTTTCAAAATCAAATTTTAAATCATCAAATCAATTTAAAAAAAATCGAACTTTACTAGGTTTTCCTTATCGAAGTTTTAGAACGAATGAATTCAATTACAAAAACATAGTTTTAATAAAACTGAAAATCGAAATATGACAAGTTAGCAAACGATGAATTCCATTACAAAAAACATAGTTTTAATAAAATTGAAAATCGAAATATGACAAATTACAATAGCAAACCACTGATTAAAAATTTTAATTAATAAAACTTCAAATACAATTTGCAACTAACATAATTTCATAAGTAACAAGAACTTTACTGAATTGTTTTACCTCACATCTCTGCAAAACTTCGTCTTTACTACACTACAGCCACACCAAAACTGAACTGCTGCATTTGAAAAAAATGCACAATATCAAATCGGGGGAATCCTATGCTCATGATTCATTTAAATACTTAAGATAGTAAAGTAATGAAACACCATCTGCAGGAAATTTTACAAACAGTAGAGATACAAAAATTAATAAACAACTACTCAACAAATATTTAACGATAAATTATACCAACCAAAGGCGATAAGAGGGTACAGATAAGGAAAAATTTACGACTTTTTGTTAAATAGATCTCTTTAACTTCTCTGAAACCTAACTATGAATTATCATCATTAGTACTACTTTCTCTACTTTCTTAAAACTTGTGACTGAATATTTAGTTTTTGTAGATATTTTATTTATTTCAGGAACATATTTTACTGTATTTTTGCAACAAATTAAATAAGGAAATAAAGTTTGAAGACAAAAATGTATTAAAATCTAAACTGATTTTAATAAGTATATTTGCACTTTGTTAAATTTATACTTAGTGACTACCTATGCCAATGATAAGAAAATAAAGAAAATATGAAAACTGTGAAAGTGTAACCGAAAACCGTTCTTCGGAATTAAAACTGCGAGCCAAAACTGGTTCTATTTGAAAAAAATGTGAATTTTTTACCATAACTTAAGTAGTTGTGAAATTATCAACTCATCAAGCGGGCATTTGTCAAAATTTAAGGTTAAATCACTCCGTAACGGTAATTTTGGGGGCGGCCGTCCCCGCAGGGCCCGCCGCCGCCGAGGTCGCCCCCGGCCCCTTCCGCAACCCACATAAGCGGCGGCCGTGTCAAAGTACCGTTGCTTGACCGCGGGGTGAACGGCCGGGGGCGGCGTCGTTGCGTACCCTTTCTCGTCCCCGTCCACCATTTCGGGCATCCTCAGCATTCTCATGGGGGCGGTGGCGGCGGCACACTCACAATAAACACCCAACACGAAACCACCACAATGGCAGCTGCACGACTTCCGTCAGTGTGGCCGAGTAAACGTGATTTAGGCGCCACCGCGGCACGCCGCCACAATATTTACCAAGGATTTTTTGCGTATACGTACCCGTACTCGTATTCTTCCATTACAAATTATGACTTCTTACACTAAACTTAAAATTAATTTAAATCTAACGTTAAGAACTATCCTAATTAACAACTACGATAGGAATACACAGACATGACATACCGTCAGGGTAGGGGAGTTAGAAACCATTTTAGGGAAGGGATGAAATAAACGAATGCGTCACGGAAATCGACCAATCATAAGACGTTTTTAAAAAATAGAAGCCATCATGGCGGATGCAGATTTAAGCGCCAAATTCAAATAGTAACACAAGCATGACCCCAACTAGTACATCCGGAAAACATTTATCGCAATATTTATACTTAATTATCGGTTGCGTCGAATAACATAACTTCTAATCTACTTCCTAGTTTCTTAAATAATTCCCATTCATAGAAATTTTGCTACATTTGAGATCAATAAGGTAAATAACCTCATTATTATTTACTGGTCATATTTTACTCTAATCTTTTGACGTTTGCTTAATTATTCAAGTCATATCCTGTTACATATTCTTTTATGAATTTTAAACGCAGTTTTCCATATTGGAAAAAATTTCGTTACAAAAATTAGTGAGAAACAACTAAATTTTATAAGAAAAAATTCAAATACTATTTCATCTTCATTATCAAAACCCAAAATTATAGGTTTAACAAAGTGTAAATATTTTTTATCTTTTAATAGTCACATACCGAAACAAGAAAGTTCCGAAAAAATAAAAATTAAAAACTATGCTATTTTATTAATGGAAATTGGAAATACAGGATAATTTTGTGTGTGAATAAGCACATTTTGTAGCTAACACAATTTCATAACTGACAAAAATTGTATTCAAATTTTACCTCACATCACTCCATCACTATTTCACAATTTCGTGTTTATTTTACACAACAAAATTGAAAAGCACAAGCGTTTCATAGAGAAAAATGTGAAATATGATTTAATCAGGGGAATCCTATACTCATGAGACATTAATAATAAAACATGATACACCACTTAAAAAAGATTTCAAACAATAGTGGTGTAAAGATTAGTAAACAATTACTCAACGAATTTTTGAAAACTATTTATGCAATATTGTGCATATGTTACCCATTGAGTTTCTCAACTTTCATTATTTTGTCTTATTTAAACAAATGTTCAAAATAACTCAACTGGAAACTCAGTTTAGATGCTTTAACTTTTTCATTCCCAAATAAATTTCAATTTTTCACAGCGTAATCACATGTTTCTCATAAAATATTTTTTATCTTATCTGAAAGGTTTGGAAGCAAAAATTCATTTTCGAATCATTCAGTGCTATGTTTTGATTAATAAAAAACTTTCTTGCTAAAATCATTTATTTATATATTCTTTGTAAAAAGAATACAGTGCTCAAAATGTATCTTTTTATGATTTAATCACCTACTTAACGCTGTACTTAATCTATAAAAATATTTTAATTATTTTTAAAACCGTGCTTTACATAATTACATTTGCCACCAACAATAAAAAATGTAACTTTTAATGAGACGAAATGACAGTATACACAATGATGTAAATCAAAAAAATGATACAATATAAATTACTACAATCACATAGCTTGACAAAAATTGTCAAAATTTTGAAACCACAATAAAATAAAACCAATCGCTACCCTAGATCAAAAAATCTAAAACTTACAGCCAAAATATAAAAAAACTAATCGAACACAGTCTTTAGGTTATCTTTTAAACCTGTTTTTGAACGAACTTATACTTTTTAACATGAGAGGGGCCTTTTTGGGTTTGGTATGAGTCGAGGGTCTTTCAACGGCTCGACTTCCGGGGTTGGGGACAGCGACTTTTCCGGCTTCGCCTGCCGTTGCTAGTGAACACAGCTTAGCTGAAGTTTTTCGGACGTCGAAGGCTGTTCCATTTTTCGCCTGTTTTCTCGCTGAAAAACGCCCAAAAATCCAAGTTAGTTGCATATTTGATATCACAGTCATACCAACCTATATTTCTCGGGGGCTTCGCCACCGCATCCACATACGCCAACTTGGTCATCCTGACCGGAAGCGACTTGTCTTGGGCTTGTTTTATATTTGCTGTCAGTGCTTTAAGTTTGGCGTCTCTTTCATCCAAACATCTCAGGTACATTTCACGCCATGTCTCCAACTCTTCTCTTTTCTTATTTCTGAATTCTTTCTGGCAGTGCAATTGCCACAATTCATCCGTGTCTTCAATGAGATAAGGGTTGTGGTGTTCCATGATGTAGAGTTGGTTGGGATTGGCCTTTTCTAGAATTGGTTTAAGGACGTTGTAAGGGACTCCTCCAGTGTACTCCAAAGCGTCAATATTGTCTTGAAGGACTCGAATACACAAGTCGAAAAGTGAGGCCACTTTACCACAGCCTATTTTATTGCCGGAATAGACTTTAGTCCTGGAAGAAAAAAGTTATTTGGTGGTAGGAGAAAAAACGGAAGTACCTTTGATTTTTCGAGGTTATAATGCTGGTGAGCGCTTCAGATTCGGACATGAATTTTTTCGTGTGGCTGTCAGAAGAGAGTAGGTTGCCAAGAGGGCGATAGTTGGGGGTGATTGGAGGCAGTAGACTTGAAATATTGAGATCTATGGGGTCCAGTGTCGGTTCTTTAAGGAGTTTGGGGACCTGGAATTAATACTTGACCTGAATGGGCTAAAAAATACACAAAAAACTGCAAAAACCCAGTTTTATATTTCCGTAAAAAAAGCCAAACAAAAAGTCAGACAGGCATTGGGCCCACTGTAACCTAAACTTTACAATAAATAATTTATATTGCAAAAAAACAAATTTTCCATTTCTGTGATACAAAATAAAAACAAAATAACTTGTCTTTTTTTAGAACCCAAAAAAATTTCGGATATCTTCCTCGACAAATGCATTCATCTGCAATGCAATAAATTTTAATGTAAACATGAAACGTTTTAAAAATCACAAAAGTGATTTAAAGTGACGATAATAGTATATTATAATACTAGTTTATAAGTAAGCCTTTAAAACACACACGACGGGTTTAAGAGTAACGCGTCGTGCTTTTAACGTCGTAAGTGTTTTAAAGGCGCCTATAAACGAGTGTTATACGCTATTTTTTTATTATACCTGTCCATTTACGATCTTTTATGAGCATTGAAAAAATGTGAATTTACACAATAAAATTATCAAAGGTTGTTTGTGAATCGTTTTCGTAGAGACAGTTACTAGTTTACGTTGTTAAGCACATTTTTTCACGTTGTAATTGGTCCAGACATTTCACTATTTCTTGTTACCTAGACAACTTTAAAATTCAGCGTGATATAAAGGCCAAATTACACACGCTGCAGCGTGTTTTAATTTAGGATTATGATGCAGGTATAATAAAAAAATAAGAAATGTAACTAAAAATAAACACAAACTGGCGGTAACGTAATACTCAAATTATAACAAAACTGTGGTGACCAATAACAAAAAGCTTAAAAATGCTCTTCGAAGTTACCTAACTTTAGTCTTTTTGCGAAAAGATAAAAGAAAAACAGCACAAAGAAATCTTGACTTTAAAAACACAAAAATTTTAACCACAAATGCAATATTGATTACTTTATTACAAAAAAAAATCTGTTTTGGTTATTTTTAAATTAAGTAAAGTTCAGTAATTATTTAGCTAATTGTGCCCATTTTTCTGTTATTTTAGTCCAATAGGACTGTATTCAATAATGTGTTTTTAGTTTCAATATCAACTAACTAGAAAAACACAATTTCGTCAAAATTATAACAATTAATAATAATATTTTATGTCGCTAATGCTATAAATGCCACTTTAGAAAAGTTTATCTACATGTTACATATTATACTTTTTCTTCGACCACCACAAAAAATTTACTTAAATTAAAAATTAAATTAAATGACAGAAAGCTAATAACTAATACGCATATTAGTCACGGCTTGTCAAGATGTGTATAATTAATAATGAAAACATATACGATAATCCGTGTTTCAGATGTGGGAGTAGAAAAAAGTATTTTTATGTCCCACTGAGTACAAAAAAAATTAAGACAGAAAGGTCGTTGTGTTAACAATTACATATGAAACAGCTTTAGATAGAGCTTATTCCATCTGGTGACGAACTGACAGTGACAGAAAAAACACTTGGAGTGTGCCCACTTGGTTAAGATAAAAAAAATACATGGGCGTACTTTTTTTCTCTAAAAATTTTGAAGACAAGGATTGTTAGGAATATAATTTTTGAAAATTATTTTCATGCGTTAACAATTTAATAATTTGTTCATCATTCTTCATCTTATGTACGGGTACCTACTTATTATAATTTTTTTTAAGAATAACAGTGGTTTTGAAATATTATTTCATACGAGGCCTATGAACAATATTTTTTTTAATAGTAAACATATGTTTAGTGTCAAAATTCAGTCATTTTTGAAAACGTCAGTTCGTCACCAAATTTGGAACAAGCTATAATAATAACCTCATTTTGGACTTGTCACTCATATAGCTGTCAGTGATGTTCCTGTTATTTTGACGTTTTAAATATTAAATTTGACGTTAAAGCTTGCTTCACAGTAAATTTCCAGAAAACGTCAAAAAATGTCATATGTCAACGAATTAAAAAACCATTTAAAAGTTAAAAGTCTCTAAAAAATCAAAATAGTGTAATTTATAAAACAATACATGGCCAACTGCTAGTTGTCCTGTGACTGTCATTTGTTATTAGGAAAACTACCAAAACATTTATTTACCGTTTGATCTGTGGACTTTTCCCTCTTCTTCTCCGTCTTTTCCACCTTCTCCGTCTTCTTCTTTGGAGTATTCTTACTCGAAGACGGTTCACACATTCCCAAAGCCTCCGCGAAGCTCGCCCCTGACCCTGAATCAATCCCACTGACCAATCCCCCGTTTAATTTTTTCGAACTTTTGGGTTTCTTATCGTCACTTTTTTCCCTTTTCTCGTCTTTACTCTTCTTTTCTTTGCTTTTCCTCTCCTCGTGTTTCTTCAAATCGTCTTTTTTGCTCGATTTGTGTTTGTTACTTTCGTACTTTTTGCTAGACTTGGAAGAATCTTCAAAATCCGAGGACGAGTCTCGCGATTTTTTCGCCGATTTATGTTTTTCCGATTTGTGTTTTCGTTCCTCTTCACTCCGTTTCGATTTGTTTCTGTCTTCCTCCTTCTTGGGGCGCTTTCTCGGGGTTTCTTCTTCACTGCTCGATTCCTCGCTTTTTCTTTTGTGTGATTTGTGTTTGTCATGTCCGTTATGCCGATGTTTTTCTTTTCGGGAGGATTCGGAACTATGACCGTCTGGTTTTGAACTTTGTTTACTTTTCTTAGCTTTTTCCCTATCTTCAGTCCTGTCACTATCACGTTTGCTATGACTAGAAGGAGTTTCAGTTCTGGATTTTGTCTCCTGACCGTCTTTATCGTCGCTGTCATTTGACGGTTCTTCGCCGCTTTGGTACCCATCTTCCTCTTCGTCGTCTTCGTCCTCATCTTCGTCATCCTCCTCCTCTTCTTCCTGTTCCCCTACCACCATTTCCTTCCATTTTGCGACAAGAGACTTGGCCGAATCACCCACATCGCCCCCTAACTTACGTAAGCCATTCACCGTACGTCCAACCCCCGTTTGTTCCAAATGCACTACTTTGATGGGAAGCCTGTACAGCTTCTCTATGTAATGCAACAACTGAAACCCCCATTTTAAGCCCCAAAAACGTGCGAAAAATCCCAACTCACCTTGCCGTCATTGCGGTTTTCGGTGTATTTATCAAGAGACTCCTGGCAGTGTCTCACGACTCTTAATAAATTCTCATGAGATTCGCCCATTTTAAACCAATTACGACGTGAAAATCGCCTGTTCTTGGGCGGAAAGCAGCTACAAACAGATGGTTACCTGTCAATGCTAGCACGCTTTCGCTCGGCATTTATTACGTAAAGTAAATACAAATGGGTGGTTTAAAAAATAAATCGTACGAGAATTACACTCAATTTATTCCCATTACGGGTTATTTTTGACTTTTTGGAACAACACAAACAACACTCTTATTTTAGTCAGCTGTCACTGAACGTCATTTTAGCTAGGGACACGTCAAATTGGCTAAGGCCAGGACGCGATCATGCGTAATTAAAAAAATTAATCAATAATTTTCAATCGTCCGAGGGTCACTAATTACGACACGATGCATTTTATTTAAAAATAGCCCAATTTTGAGTAACACTCAAAGAAAGAGAAAATTTTATTTGTTTCGTCAAAAGTGAGGTTACGTCGCTGTCACAATGACAGTCTATAATATTTACATCTTTGATAAAAACGGCACTTTGCTTTATTACAATGAGTGGAATCGGCTGAAGCAGTCGGGGATGACCCGAGAAGAGGTAGGACCTTCTCCCAACCCGTACAAAATTTTGATTTTTGTGATTTTAAGGAGGGAAAATTAATGTATGGGATGTTGTTTTCAATCAAGTCTTTTGTCGGTAAAATCTCCCCAATCGATACGAAAGAAGGTTTTCTATACTACAAGACGTCGAAATATACGCTCCACTTTTTGGAAACTCCGTCAGGCTTAAAATTCGTACTAAACACAGACACAAATGCACAAGGTGTGAGAGAGTTGTTGCAACAGATTTATAGTCAAGTGTATGTTGAATATGTAGTCAAAAATCCTCTAGTTCACTTATCTGAACCCATTCAATCCGAACTGTTTAAAACTAAGCTTGATACGTTTATAAAACAGTCACCTATTTATCTATCAAAGGCTTTGTAACATTGTTAATTAATAAATGGTTTTTTGTATGAGAGTTTTTATTTCTGTTGTAACCAAACTGTTTCATTTGATTAATTTTATTTTATTATCCTGATCTAAGTTGGATAATAAACCTAATTAAAACTTAAGGTTTAATTTGTTAAGAGGGTTTCAGAGGGATTCTGTAAACGGAAATGGTGTTTAATTTAATTAACTATGAAGTGGGTGAGCTCGACATGTACCAAACATTTTATTAAATTGTTGAAATCGCTAATAGTAAGCTTTACATTGGTGGAGTTCTATTAATAGAGAATCTTTATTCCATTCCTTCATTAAATTGATGACCCATTAAAGAGAATAGTGGGGCTTACAAACTGATTACCTTACATCAATCACGATTAAGTGAGTAAAATCTATTAAAGTCGCTCTGATTTAAATAATGTGTTCCTGAAATGAAATTGCACAATTCGGAAAACTTCGATTAAAAAAGTGGAATGTAATAAGCGAGCCGGAGTTTAATTTAAACGCATTCGCACAAGTCGTTTAATCACGACAAGTTCAAGAGACTGTGTAATTACAATTTATTGTTACAAACAAATGTTTTACTTACTATAATTTCCACTATGAGAATTTTAGCTTTGGAATTTGTGGTAAGGGCGGATTTGCAGGAAGTCGGCATTTAAGGGAGAAAAGTAACTGTAAATAGGGTCAAGTTAGTTATTTTTGGAGCGAAAAGTACAAAGTAACGAATTAAATTAGGTAAAGAACGGAAGGAAAAGCATACTTTGGTGTGTGGGGGTTGAGATAAATTGGATTCATAAAAAGCTGTCTTTTTTTGAACAAAAAAGAAGTGTCACTAAAATAAATTATATGAAGTATTGTTTTTCTCTATAATTGTATATTTTTTTGTTAGTACACAGTTGCAAACAATTCCTTTTATTCAAATTTCCAGTTGAAAAATATTTAAATGCCGAGGCATTAAAATTCGCTTTTAATGTTCCAAATAATTTATTCAAAGCACAATGTGTAATAGCTTTATTACTACAAACAGAAATTGAATGAAAATGTACAATGATAGTAAAAAATAGTTACATACAAAGTGTTAACTTTGAATAGCAGAATTTGTGCATTTAGTTCCGTTAAATATACAGTTTTTTAGAATTCGCGCTCCAGAGAAAAATGTCAAGGGTTGGCGACAATAAGTTACCAAAAACTGCAAACGCAGGATTTAATTTTCTTTGTATATTATACAGGCTGTTTGCCACCACATATTCTACATCAAAACTCTAACAAAAAAATATCCACGCCACTGGTAAGAGTAAAAATAAAGTACCAAATTGCCAGAAAATAAATAAATGGCGCACAAAGCCCATCAAATATTATAAAAATATCTTAAGTGGTTTTAGTGGAACTAATGGATTTTAGTTTTTATCTTTATCATAAAACTTTATCACCCTGTATTTACGTAACGAAACTTTAGAGGACTATCATCTATTTGAAAAATTAGTGTTATTTTTCAATGTAAAATATGTGGTTGGTTGCAACTTTTTGCAATATTAAAAAATATATCAAAGTTGGGCGACTTTTAAATCCATAATCTTAGAAGGATTATTACAAAATAAATCCGATTGCTACGTTTAGTGACCGATATTATTTTGCAAATATCGTATGTGGGTGAAAAAAACAAGTCTTCTCATCTCGGGAACGTTTTGAGATAACGATTTTAATTTCTGCATTTGAAAAGACAATGGATTAAAAATTATGTCTGTTAAAATACAAACATTTATTTTAAAAAACAAAGGAATAACAGAAAAGAATATTTTTGCTTACGGCTTAAGATTTTTAAATTTATAAAAGCTTTGGGTTATAACACTACGAATATTGCACAATTCTCCTACCGAATAAAATAATTTTTGGGTTTTTCGTACATTTTTTTGAATAAAAACTTAATTAAAAAATTATTTTTTTATAAATTCGTATTATTTGTAGAGCTCATTCCATATCTGGTGGCGAACTGACAGTGACAGAAAAGACACTTGGAGTGCGCCCACTTGGTTAAGATAAAAAAATACATGGGCGTACTTTTTTTCTCTAAAAATTTTGAAGACAAGGATTGTTAGGAATATCATTTTTGAAAATTCTTTCCGTGCGTTAAAAATTTAATAATTCGTTCATCATTCTTCATTTTATGTACGAGTACCTACTTATTATAATTTTTTAAAGAATAACAGTGGTTTTGAAATATTATTTCATACGACGCCTATGAACAATATTTTTTTTAATAGTAAACACATGTTTAGTGTCAAAATTGAGTCATTTTTGACAACGTCAGTTCGCCACCAGATTTGGAACAAGTTCTAGGTTTAGTTATGGACATACTTAAATGTCAAGGTAGCTTGTAATTTTGTAAAAAACTATAAAGACAACTAGAATAATTATTAAAGGACAAATAGGAAAATTTAATTATACAAAGATAAATAAAATAAATTTAACTTGACTTATTCTGTATATTAAGTAAAGTTGTGGTGATTAAAATATTAAAATTACAAATTAGAAATAGCAGTGATTTAAATTTAAATTGTGTCCGAACAAAACTTTCTGTATCTCAAAAACTATAAACATTTGGAAGACAAATTAACTTTTTTAACTTCTTTTGAGTTCTACTATCATCTGTTAGAATATTTGCACATTCCTGAAAATCACCCAGCACCCAGTAGACATACTACATAAGTATGGAAGAGCTTTTTTAATTTTGACAACTGAAATTGACATTTTAACACATTTTTGACAGCTACAGTATTTGATTTTCACAAAGCATTTGTGCAATTTCGCACGCGCAGTGCTGTAAAATAACAAGAAATTTTTGAGGCTTCCAGAGACTCTGAAAAAAAGATACTTTATGATAGATAAAGTCCATTAATACTAAGAGAATTCTCGTGGTGAAAATAGTAAACGCATAGACTTGTCATTTGTTTTGTGCATTATTTGCGCGTTAGGTATTTTTCCCACGACCATATACGAAATTAGATCATAACGCACAATTACCTAGGGGCAGGAGGGGTAAGATGGGGTAGCGAGGTAAGATGGGGACCCACTATATCTCAAAAACAAAAACAGTTTTGATAAAACTTTTAACGTCATTTTGTAGAAGTATCTCAAAACTTTTCACTGCGGCAAAAGCGAGAACCTGAGCATAACACATAACGTTGCTGTGAGTAAAAAATATTTTTTTAATTATTTGATTTTATTTTTCTATTGTGTTTCGAACGTGACTGTCAGAAATACATAGGTTGTGATGTAAACAACATCGTTTCATTGCAATTCCTGTACTTTAAACTTGATTTTAAACTACATAGTTATTTACACGATTACTTGTTCATTTATAAAATGATTTTTTTTTTACCTACAAGGTCCCGTTGGGGCAAAATGGGGTACGGGGCATATCAATTGGCAGTTGTCAATAATAAGCAATATAAGTTCAGTGAAGTCAAGGCAAAAGCTGGTACAGATTAGGTTAAGGGATTTCTTAAGCTTCATCCAGAAATAAGTCTTCGGAAACCAGAAAATACTTCTGCTGCTGGACTTGCGGGATTTAATAGAGTGTCGGTGGGAAAGTTTTTTGAACTGTTAGGAAAAGCTCTGGATGAATATAAATTTACTCCGGATAAAATTTAAAATTGTGATGAAACTGGATTATTTATTGTGCCCAAATCGAGATCCAAGATAATTGGTACAGCAAAGAAGGATGGATCACATGTCAGCTATGTGGAAAGTGGGCACATTGGGGCTGCGTTGGCGTCGATGACGACGATGTCTTTAAAACTGTAGTACCCCATCTTGCCCAATGGGGGACCCCATTTTACCCCAAGGGTGGGGTAAGATGGGGTATAAGTATTTTTGTTTTTTTTATCCTTATTTAAAAAAAAATAATAATTTTTGTTATTTTTTTTATTATAGTCTAATAGAGAGAACACTGATTAAGTTGATAAATAGAGTTTCGAACTTCTGTGATGTATATTTAGTTTTTTATTCGACTTCAAACGTTAAGGTCCCCGTCTTGCCCCTACTTCCTTTCATATGCGCGAAAATTGGCAATAGGCAAACCTGTGCGATTTATTTTCGCACTGTGTGTTAGAAATCTAACGCACAATTCACACTCGAATAATTTTTTTATTTAACGTATTTTTTTTGTAACCATTATAAAAAATAAATCGTTATTCAACGTATTTTTGTACCCATTATAAAAAATAAATCGTTATGAAAAAAAAATGTTCGTAAGGAAACAATTATTTATAGTCGTAGGAAAAATAGTGTACAAAACTTGCAGGAAAGTGTCTAACGCACTCGCGGTATTGTCTACACTCGGCTAACGCCTCGTGCGCAACTTTCCCGCTTGTGCATTATTTATCACTTGCCGTGCTTGTTATGTAATATACTATTACAGCATTCAGTTTTATTAAAACTCTCAGGTTCGCTTCGAGATTCAATATTAAAACTTTACGCTATAAAATTATAACTACCGCACGTATAATGTAAATAAATGAATTCTTAAATTATTTGCGTTGAGATAATAATAATTAACATAAAGTTAAAGTACTACACTACTCCAAAAAATTTAAGGAACAAAAAATTTTTTAAAGACGAAAAATAGTCGTATCTAGATTAAAAAAAAAACATTTTGAAGCTTTAAGTTTCTAGTTTTGAGATCTTTTGACAAATATTTTTTCTGTGCTGCAGTTATCAAGCAATCCTAAGTAATTACGCGAGAAAAAAATCTAAATTTTTATGTTTTTGTGGTGTCCACGAACGTAGAGATTTTTTTTTAATGTTAAATCAATGCATAGGCCGGATAGCATATTCTCTTTACATTAATCTGTCGCTGAGATATCTGACTTTAAATGAAAAAGGATCCTTTTGTCTTTGATCATCGATATCTTAGCATTAATTTTAATTTTTAAATTTTTGAAGTAGTGATTGTGTTTTGAGAATGAAGTTTTATTTTGTTTTGAAGTTATGCGATTTTTTGAAAAATTACATCTTATTTAACGAAGTCTAATTTAGAGATAATTCTGATCTGTTATCGGGAAAAAAACGAGCATGGAAAAAATTCTAAAAAAAAGAGTTTCCAAAGATAGCTATCTGTTTGCATAAATTGGAAGTTCAACTTATTGGAAAATCTACGTCAACTGTTAGAGGTGTCGCCAAAAATATTTAATTAGAAGAGCAATTTTGCAGTTTAAACTTAGATTTACAGAAAGTGAATTAAATCAAAATTAAGTTAATTGCGGTTAACTTCAAAATTCTAAAATCTGATTGCTTGTTCATCAAAATTCAACCAATCACGAAACGAATTAAATTTAATTGCAATCAAATATTTAATTCGGCTTCTATAAACCCACCCTAAGGATTGTAAATTTACAGAATAGAGGATCGATACTCCCATACAAGATCTTTGTTGGTATGTTTAAAAACAAGGTTAACGTAGATTTGATATTTTAAATTAATAATTTGAAATCGCTATTTAAAGCGTTTTCTTTCTGGCCACCCGGTATACTTATTATGTATCATTGGTAAAGTTTTAAATACGGAGTGTTATTATTGTAGAAGATGTTTTTTGAAATAATTAGTTTTAAAACATATCTTAATATCCCATAATTTTTGTTATATGTTTTTTGTAGTTTAAACAATAAATTGAAAAAAAAATTAAATACAAATAAGTGAGATTGTTTCTTTGTTAATTGACAGAGTGTATGCAAGTGTAAACTCTTACAAAGTTTACAATATGTCTGCAAAATTTTCATTTCTAGCCAAGTTAAAAAGCATCCTCTTTCAGCTTCATTGTTGTCAGCTTCACTATTCACTTCACTGCTTTTCCATCATCGAAATTGTAAATAAAAAACTCTCATAAAATCATCCACCGTTTGGTGGCTTTCCAGGAGGCACCTGTGCGTGAGTCGGTGCTTGAAAACTCCTGGTAAAACGTGAAGCGCGCGCGTTTCGCCGCCAGTTAGTCCTTGCTCCTGCCGAGGACATGTTTTGGATCCTGCGAAGGACGAAGCTTACGAGCGCGGCCGCGTTACTCAACACACTCAACAACAACAACAGCGGTGAGTTGAGTGTCACTTATCTGAAAACAAAAAGAATGAAAATTGATAATGTGGGGCTGTTTTTGATAATTTTGTGCTTTTTTCATTTGAAGAAGGTTGATGTTAGGGACGTGCTGTTGCATTTTAATTAGGCGGAGGAAAATAATTCATGCTTTATATTCCGGAAATGTATTTTCAAAGAGTTAGACCGAAGGTGGAATATTTATGGACGAATAATTAAGTTTTGTGCTTTATCTAAACGTTTTAAACAAACTTTGCTATATTCAAATCATTTATGTTTGAATCACACATCTACATTTGAGAGCCTCTCCTACATTAATAAATCTACCATCTTTGCACACGTGTGATTTATTTTAAAATATCGAGATTAAATTAAAGCGAAGTATGTTTTTTTCTAATTTATTTTTTTCGCTGCGCTACTTGGTGGATTTTATTGACAAAAAACGCTGCAGTAAATATACAGGATGTGTCAGAACTCGCGCCCCAAAGAAAAATTTCAAGTAAGACAGGATACCAGGTACATGAAAAAAGTGTTTAAAAAACTCTATCTGTCAAAAAATTTTGACATTTATTTTTTGACATTTGACATTTTTATGTTTATTTAATAATACCCATGATCTTGTATACGTTTTTTTGTAATTAAAAAAAGCCACAAATTAATGTTAATGTAAACAGAGATACAATTTAGGATACATTCTCTTCTAATAGCCTGTAGCAAAAAAACTTGGAAAATTATTTTTCCAACAGAAATAAATAGAGTCAAAGTGCAAAACTTAAACTCTCATAGCATCAAAATTTTTATAGATAGAATTTTTTAACATTTTTTTCATGTTTCTGGTATCTTACCTTATATGGCATTTTTCTCTGGGGCGCGAGTTCTTTCGCACTCTGTATAATTGTGTAATAAGGTTTTTAGTTGGTCACCAAACTTTGTGTTATTTTTGACTCAATTTTGTGTGTATATTATTTTTTCAATGATAACAATAGTAACAGAGTAACATTTTTTTAAATGTGTTTTTCTATTTGGCTATTACCCTTAATACAGAGTGTCTCAAAAACGTTCGAGCCTATACTCAGACTTGAAGATGAGTACTGGTTTATACAATAAGTAGAATAACATTAATTTTACATTGCTTATATAAAAATCTAGGATGAAATCTGACAATACATAGGTATTTATTCTTATAGAAAAAAATTGATTTTAAATTGAATCTCAAACTATTTTTTTGTAATTTAGAGACAGAAACTAGGTAGCTAATCGCCAATATAATAATATTAGCAAGCTCAATGGCTTTGGTTATAATACTGAGAAACAAAAAAAAGTGTTCCAAAAATAATTAAAGGTAATAATTCAATGCTATACTAAATAAAAAAAATTCAACAAACTAAACAAAACAATTTTTGAGTATATTATGACATTAATTAGTTTTTTAACTTTTTATCTAAGAACCAAATATTTTTTATTAGTGAATTTTTGTAATAAGTGTTGTAATTTTTCACATTTATATCCTATGATCAAATAATTAAAAAAAAATGTGTACTGTCACAATTAATTTGTCAAACTCAAAATACCAAAAAACCTTTTATAAAATTTTGGAAATACAACACTGCAGTCTCAAAAATAGTTTTTTTTTCTATTTTGCCTATGAAAGAAAGCTTATTTCGATACCAAAACCGATACTTTAATGAGCCATTTCAACACCAATTCGGGTACTGAAATAGACTAGTACAATTTAGTAAATTTTCAGCAGCGTTTTGAGCGATTTCTCTTATTTCAGGTGGCGTGCATGAAATATTTGCAGTATTCATTGTCAATTCAACAAAATTCTGAAAACTACTCGAGACTTGACACTTCAAATAACAAATTTTTCTCAAACCTTGTGACATTTATAACCAACCTCCATCTTGTAAGGCAAAAGTTCCTAAATTTTTAAAAATCGATTTTTATGCTAAAAAAATACGTAAAACGCAGAAAAAATATCATAAAAAACATATTTCATAAGTGTGGAAACTCGTTTTTTTATAAACCAGAACTTGTTTTACAAAACGCGTTTTTTAATATACTATTTTTGTTACAAATACCTAAAAACAGTTTATGCCGACGAATCGTAGATGCTTCTGGACCAGGCGAAGCCGAGTCCGCACAAACTTTCTAGGTTTTTGTTAAAACTTCTAAAAAATCACATTCAAACCTCTTGTTGTGTTTGATTCATTTCTCGCAAATACTAATTAAAAATTAAAAATAGTACCCATAATAATTATTTGAATTCAAAACAACTTATTTAATGAGTCCGTAAATAGCTATTTTTGAGAGAGTTAAAAAATATACAGGCTGTTCGGTCCAAGTCGCCCCGGCCGATAACACCTAAACTTACTTTTTTTTTTCAAAAACTAAATTTTCAAATAATACTATTCATTCCTGGCTTTCTTAGAAAATGCATCAAATTTTTTTAACACATCCGGTGTAGCCGGAAATGCTACCAAATTTAGTTTTTTAAATGGAACTCCTATGTTTTTTTTGCTCGAAACAATAATAATTGGGATGAAAAATACGGTAAACCACTATTTATTACATTTTACTTTACATAATGCACTCAGAAAACAATTTAAATTTTTGAATTTCATTGGAAATTTGGAACGTAGGCGGATGTTACTTGTCAAGGTATTCATGCAAAAAGCAATATGCTTGGATACCGTTTAATTGTTGGTTTGACAAAGCCTAATTTGTCAATAAATCTTATTGAGACCTTTAATAATGAATGATATTAATTACGACGAATTGGTAGATCAGCTTGAAGTGTTTTTTAAGTGCAATAAAAGAGAGCGGAAGCTGAAAGACAGTATAGAGAAAAATACTCAAATAGAGTTCACACAAATCGTTGGAAATTTAGTCGAATTGAAAAACAACTGAGACGAACAGGTTTGCTTCTTAAAACTAAAAAATCCGCGGTTCTTAGTGAAGAACAAGAAAATAGAAATCTGAATGTTCTGTTATCAGTCGAAGAAAATCCAAGAGTTTCCATAAGAGAACTCGCTTATCATAACTGACAAATTAGATTTGTCAAACCAACGATTAAACTGTATCCAAGCATTTTTTATTCACACCTTTCTTTTAAAATTAAAAATCAGGCTACGCAACCAATTTCCTTATAAAATTCAAAGATTTAAGATGTTTTCTGATTGCATTGTGTTACGCAAAATGTAATAAATAGTGGTTTACCGTATCTTTCATGTCAATTATTATTGTTTGGAGGAAAAAAAAACATAGGTGTTCCATTTGAAAAACTAAATTTGGTAGCATTTCCGGCAACACCGGATGTGCTAAAAAAATTTGATACATTTATTAAGAAAGCCAAGAATGAATATTATTACTCAAATATTTACTTTTTGAAAAAAAGAAGTAAGTTTAGGTGTTATCAGCCGGGGCGACTTGGACCGAACAGCCTGTATATCAAATTGTATTATTTTTTATCTGGTTTTCTTACATTGATTGTGATTGTTTTTTGCTATAAACTGTTAATGTTTAATGAGAGTTACTTTAAATTTGGTATTTATTGTATAGTAAAATTACATAACAAAATAAAATACGCAAATAATTCTCACATTTTATGTTCTCAAGCACAAACACACCCACACACCCAAAGCGTTAATTAATGTACTCAAAGCCGCTATGTACCGCCCTTAAAAGCTTCCCTAATTTCCAAGTTTTCATCTAAAATAAAATGATTTTGTGTAGGCATAAAGTGAAATTAAGCGATTACAAAATGCTAAAATTTTAATAAAATCGTACAGTGACAGGAGATGTGGTGCAGTTAATTCGTTGTGTATTAGGGAAAATGTTATAAATTCGTTATTTAATACACGAGGGAGTTACAAACCGCAATTAGTGCATAGTCGGTGCGTTTGAAAACGAGCTTTTGGGGAATAATTCGTATCTGACAGGAGGTAAATTGAGACATGCAAATGTCGCCCGAGGAGATTCGTCACGGATCAATGGGATTTTTTTTGAGTCGACAGGACGTAATTGACCGGAAATTTTGCGAGAGTTCGAAAGGATTTGAATTATTTTGCCAACTGCAAGCAATTTGAAAAAGAAACAAGTGAATTTGAAGTGAAATAAGTGACACCATTTAACATCAACTGTAAAATGAAAAACATAATTAAGTTGGTTTATGATTTTTGGACACAAAATTTCAGTCAAAGGACGCAGTGAAATTTTAAATTTATTGTTTTTATTTAGAATTGTTAATAAATATTTAATAAATGTTAAAAATGAAAACAAGAACAAAATCTTAAATAACATTAAATAAAATTATTATTAAAATTTCCTATCGATACTATTCAGCTTTCTCTTTAACATTTAAAGTTTGTTCTCATGTTTTATGTTTTGTTAAGGTAATTAATGTTGTCGTTTCTAAGAATGTTCATAATGAGCTTAATACTTTTGATGAGAGAAATTAATTAAGATTGTTTATTTTCAAGCTTCCTCCACGTTTCAAAACCATTTTTAAAAATCTTTTATTTTATCAAAATTTTGGTATATTTGTTCTTTTTTTAAATACAGGCTGCGCCAGAACTCGCGTCCCAGAGAAAAATGCCATGTAAGGTAAGATACCAAAAACATAGAAAAAATGTAAAAAAAATTCTATCTATAAAAACTTCGAAGTTATGACAGTTTGAATTTTGCACTGACTCTATTTATTTCTGTTGAAAAAATAATTATCCAAGTTTTTTTTGCACCAGGCTATTAGAAAAGGATACAAATTGTAACTTTGTTTAATGTTATTTGTGGCTTTTATTGGCAAAATTTTTGTACTTTTACTAAATAATTATAAAAAACCATATACAAAATCATCAGTATCATTAAATCCACATAAAAAATATCAAACGTCAAAAAATAAATGTCAAAATTTTTTGACAGATAGAATTTTTTAAACATTTTTTTCATGTTTCTGGTATCCTATCTTACATAGCATTTTTCTCTAGAGCGCGAGTTCTGG